CTAAAATACTTAAGAGAATTGAGAAAGGATTTTTTATTACATGCAAGTGAAACTGTTTCACTCTTGTTTCTCTTTTCTAATCCCATTATTTCTTGATTAAAGTCTCTGCTGCAGCAAAGTAATAAAAGAGAAGCTGCCACACTGCTGTGCTGGATTCCTGTGGTGACGGGAGAGCAGCTGGCGTGCAAACCACTCCATCCTCTTTTCTCAGTTTATTTTCTCCTTTCTAATTCAGTTATCCAACACCTATTACCTGCGTGTTTTAGCACAGTACAAGTATTTCCGCTCGGCTCGTCATTTGTGAATGGCACCATGGGATAGTGCTTTTAGAGAGAGGAAAGATGGGGAGGATGCTGAGGTCAAATGTGTGAAAAGAGGAGAAAGAGTGAAGTCTGGGTCAGATGAAGGTTTGAAAGAAATAAAAAGGTAGTGGACAGGAAAATGTGTAAATGATGGACGTAGAGAAAGCTCCCGGGAGCCGCCTTGCTCTGGCAGGCTAATTGAAGCTCTGAGCTGTCACTCCAATGAAGAGGCCATTTGCTGCATTTTTGTAGGCTGTGTGCTGAATTCTGATGATGTTACAGAAAGCCTAGACCCCCCCCTACCCCCCCCCCCCCCCCCCCCCCCCCCCCTCTCTCCTGCATGGGGACACACAGCACACATCCCACTCCCCTCCACAGCTCTCCACAGATTATATGTAACAGGGTCAGAGGCATTCTGAACACGACAAGCTACCGCAAAGCAAAACATGTGCATATGAATCATTTTGTAAATTTGTCGGGCGGTCGCATACATGATAATGTGTTATTAGACTCTGCGGGAAGTGTTTTCACTTGTACAGGTTTTCCCTGGTTGGATTAGAAGAGATTATGTCTTCTAACAGAGCACATAGCTGCGAGCATCCAGTGAATTATTTATCGTGAATTAAAGCAGCCAGTTATAAAAATATTTATCTAAAAACTGCCAGATTTCAAGACTAGGCTTTTTAAATGTGTAGCTGTAACGGAAATTCACGTACATGGTTACATAAAACTGTGTTGAATTATCTGCCAATGTTGGGTTTAGCTAACTGCATATTGATACCATACGGTTTTTATGTGTTCACATTTGAACCAACTTTTTCAGGTGGTTGTTTTTGCCATTTTAGGCAGCTGTGTTGAGCTAATTTGTGTCAAACACTATCCATTGCCTGTCCACTGTTTATCTCTCATACATTTAGCAGAACATGCATGTGTGGACAAATGAACATACAGTATATAACATTGTTTTCACAGATTGCAGATCAAGTAAATTGAGATAGTAAGAGCAGTGCCAGGCACAGTCTTTTACATAATAGATTACTCTTCCTTCCTGCCCCCTTTTTAAATCATTTGGTTTTAATCAGATCTTGTGCCATCAATGATGGTCTATTCCTGCCTAATGAGCTACCCAAGCAGGAGAGTTATCGATCCGTGCTATTGACGGTTCCACATACATTTGCTTATAAGCAAGTGCACAGAAAAAAGAGAACTGAGTATATTCTTTCAATTTTTATGAAAATACAAACATTTGGAGATACATTGCTATTTGAACATGTGTCCAAAAATCACCTGAGCTTTTTCATAGTTTTATATTTGAATTCAAATCAAGTATTTCTTCATCATGGAATTACAGATTTGACATCAGACTCTCACTGAGTTGAGTGAAGCTGATATTAATGCTCAGAAGGAGCCACAGGTGCTACACAGCACTTCACTAAATCATTAGTCAGTCCCCATCAATCTGTTTATCCATAGACAAGATTCATTTGGGGGCTGGCATTTACTGATCAGGAACCTCCCTTTGATTGAATTGATTTGTCTGCTGTGCCTCCAGGTATGAAGATAAAGGTTGATTTTCTTTACAAAATGCTCAAATCTAAAGTGAAACGTGGCAGAAGTACTCAGATTTACAGCAGACAACAGTGCAGAGATACTTTATTATAAGTAAAAGTCATTTAGAATTACACTAGTAATAAAAACATATACTTAACGTACCAAAAGTATTTATTATTATGCAGATTGGCCCACTTCAGGATAATTAATAATATATACTAGTATGTAAAAATGGTATGGTAATTGTAGCAAGGTAATTAAAAAAAGACCACTGCAAACAAGGTATTTAGGAATTGAAGCTCAGTGTTTCCCACAGATATGAAATATACTTGGGCGGGTGGTGGCAAGGAGGGGGGGGGGGGGGGGTGCGCGAAAAAAAAGAAAAGTTTTAACAACATTATTTATTGACTTTTCATTCCGGTATAATCATTTTGCGCAAAGATGGCACTGTTTGTCAGAGCACTTCATCCTTCTGGGATTTCATGAAGAAACAGCTCCAACGCCTGTGTGGTGCTGGTCCATTAACTGCCAGTGTTTCCCACAGATCTGAAATATACTTTGGGGGGTGGTGGTAGCGGCGGGGGGGGGGTTGAGGTGACGTGCAACAACATTAACCTTTCTGTTGGTCGCTTGTTAGCAGACCCTTCACGCGATGGCAGAGCGAACAGGTACAGGCAGGGTCCATAATGATAGCCCTATAGTTTAAATCTACTACCCACACATGAACATATGGAAATGGGTTACTATTTAAAAAAATAAATGTATTTATTAATGTATTTAGGAACCTATCCATGTGATTTTTAGTGGGGGTCGACCTCAAATCCTCTAGGGGGGTCCAGGGGCATGCCCCCCCGGTAAGATTTTATTTTTTATTTTGGAGTTAAATGCATCAATCTGGTGCATTTTGAGGGGAAAATAAAGAGACTAGATCTATGGAAACACCTATATTAAACAGAACTGTATACATTTAAATAATCATAAAATCAAGGCCATAACCAATAACATACCATATCCAATATGAAAAAAACACTGAAACTTGTTAATTTATTTTTGGTTCATTTATAGTTGGGAGTGTGTCTGTGCTCCTGAATCAGCCTCTCCTGTCTCCCTCCTCTCCCCCCCTCCTCTTTGAGGCAGCAGCAAAGACTAGTTTTCTCTCAACAAGTTTTAAAAGTGTATCTTACCTTTTTTCACCTAGTTAACTTTTTATTTATTTATTCATGCATATTTTACTAATCACATTACATTTCATTTAGCTGACGCTTTTATCCAAAGCGACTTATAATGACCGATTACAGGGACATTCTCCCTGGAGTAACTAAGGGCTAAGTGCCTTACTCAAGGGCACACTAGTGGTGGTGTTCCTGGCGGGATTTGAACTCACAGCCTTCCGATCTTCAGCCCACCTCACTCTCCATTAGACCAATCACTACCCTCTCAAATGGAAATATGTGTTTACATAAATGGTGACCACACCGTTTGAGACCCACTGAGAACTTAGACTAAGTTAACTATCTAAACACTCAGAGAGTCCTTTACCTCACCTGAGCTGAGGTTATCCCGAGCTTGAATGACACACAGAGACCAATCAAGGGCTTTGATTTATGATCTGTATGACAGTGGCCATGTCGGCAGGCCACATCATGTGGACAGCCAGTCACCCTGTGTGAGGCAGGCCACTTAACAGGCCAGAAGGAGGCGAGATCAGAGCAAGGGAGCGAGGGATCATTGTCTACAAGTTAATCGATCGCAGATGGCGTCGTGGTCACGGACGAATAAAAAAAAAAAACATTAAAAAAAAAAATTATAAAAAAAAAAAAAAAAAACTAAATGGGTCGCGAAATATACTTGGGCGGCCAGGTATAGTCTATGTGTGGGAAATCCTGGAAGCTGTAAATACATTATTTACCATTGTTTTGCTTTGGGTTGAATTTGAAACATGATACTACATTATTTTGTACATAACAGGAATTAAACTCCTTGGCCTGAAAGTTGCTAAGGCTGGTGTTGTGGTTACAGGTTGATTGTTCTGATTTAATGACAGAGCTCCAACTCTCACATCCACCATCAGTTACGTGTTCGCTCCTCTGGTGAGGACTCTGATATTTTCTGTTGGATGAAGGCCTCGAAAAAGACTAAATCACTTAGTAACCCTGCAGAAGTAAAGGTAGGCTCCTTTAATGTGGAGGTATGTGTGTTACCTGTAGGAAGATAATAGATAATGCCTCTTTTTCATGTAATTCCTTTGAATGCGTGCTACCTGGCAACCACAGTATTTGACAATGTACACTGTATATGCAGGGCTCGTGTTGAAGGACTTAAGGGCTGTTGACTAAGTGCTCTCTTGTTATAGAGTGGGTGCTGTATGCATAGTGATGTAACAGCCTTTATATTCAAGAGATGAAGAGGTAGAACAGGCCACACACAAGCACCGTGAGTACTGAGGGGGCATAGCTACAATGTTTTTGGGATAAAATCTTTCATTTTCTATAATAATACAACTTTGCTTGCCCAACCGACAGCCAACATTTACAAAATGAATGCTGCGCCTGCTTGCTTGTGGTTTATTGTGTGTATTTAACCCCTGTATGTTACTGAAATCAGATGTACTTTATAGTCCAACGGACTAAACTACAGTAATACTATTGGTTAACATCTAGTTTAGAACCAATTTGTGGGAAAATGAAATAAGGAATTTGTTAACCATTTTCTGTGCCACAGACTGGACCTATATATTTAATGTGGTGTTATTCAAGCTTGGGGGTCAATTAGACCACACCAAGGTCAAACTCCTTAAGAACATTCTCTAATAACATAAATCCTGATTTTGGGAGGGACATCTCTTTGTAAACTTCAACGCATATTACAAATAAAGAGCATATGAAAATCCACTTTATCCATGTTATACAGCTGGGGTTTCTGAGAAACGGAACAGTTATTTAATTTTTCAGAAGACTTCTGAAGATATCGGTTCAAAATTAAGTTTATAAGCAGTTCTGATAAAATGTGGAAAAGTCAAGTATTAATCTGGTAAAAACAATGTTACAGAACATAAGGTTGATGTTTCTTATGAGCTACTTCTAGCCCAGTGTCGAAATGCATGTTATAAATGTGACCAATATTTCCTCTACATCTTATTTTCTGAAGGATGGATACAACCTCCCATCCCATGATGCCCTTGCACAGATCCTACCAAATGGTCGCTACCTTTTCAAAGGAGCAAATCCAAGGCTTCAGAGGGCAGCCCAACGAGAACCGGAGAGACCAGAGGCCAAGCAACCCAACATAAACCACACCTATCATATACATCATCCACATCAACGGTGAGGAAAACAGCTACATGCAAGAGGCATGGATTTACCGTCATGATCATTGTATGAATTACATTTTAGTAGGATTAAAACAAATTATGTCTACGTGTTATTTCCCTAATCCATTATTTGTATTAAACGTGTTCATGCCTCAGACCCCCACTGCATACGGGTGAGGATGATCACCGCATGGCAGAGATCACCAACCTCCAAACTAAGGTGATTAGACAAAATCAATACCTAAACTCTTGAATCAGTGAAACAATCCCCTCGGTCACGTTTAGTTAGTGAACATGGAAAAGTGGATGGGACGGGACAGTATAGTGAAGCAGTATCACAGATCAGTGACAAAATGGCAGATAAAAAAGGATTAACATTTCCTAGACTAATTGCACTCAAGGAGGTTCAAGAAAATTGGGGGGAAGCTATTGGCCCGTTGTGTTATTTAATGTTTATCATAACTACTCCTGTGTCTGAAATGTTTTCTTCATAATTATATTTAATTAAATATCTCATTATCACAATACACTCCAGCTGCCTTCTGTCTGTGATACAAGTGTCCCAAAGTGACAGCATGTATGACAGCAAGTCAACTTTAATGTCCCCAAATCACAGCGAGATGAGGGAAGCTCCGGTATTCACAGGCAGAGGAGGATTCCCCTTTATGATTTGACACATGATTGGACTCTCCAGACTCATCATGGGGAGGCGTCCTTCCCATCATGCCTGTGGGCCCCCAGTGGAGACACCATCTCCTCTACACTCATGATTGTCACCTTGTCCTTGCCCTTTCAATTAGATGCTCAATTTCACTCTTGTGTCCCACGGGAGTCCCAACCACACCATCTGAGATTGGAATGATCGTCGCCCCCTCCTCATACATGCAGCTGGACCCTGCTCTCAGTTTCCATTCAATTCTGTCTTTTCAATGTGAGTGAATGAGCATGTGTCAGAGCAGAGAACAATGAGCGTGTCGAAGCTGCTAGACAACACGCACACACCTTACACAGAGACATGTCTTGATAACAGGGCTCTGCAGAATCGTAAAGCCAAGGAATTGCATAATTTTCAAAAGGAAAGAAGGGCAAAACATGTAGACAAAACAAACAAAAAGGCTCAAGATTGTATTTATTCAGTCTTGTTTTTGTGTCTGCTTTCCTGAAATACCCTCATGAATTTGGCATGAGTTTTTCCTCAGTTCAGTAAATGGGCTTTCACACAAGATGCTACGTGAATGCACGACTAGGATTTATCCAAACACCCTGCTTAAAGCTCCCATGACAAACAAGCTTCACAGGGTAGGGTGTCCCTTTGGATTTGAGGAGCCAAGTCATCAATTCATTGTACCGAAACCTTAGTCAATCGATTACAAGAACATCACACGCAAAATGTTCTCTCTTTTGGCTTCCAGTTATGTCCCATTTCCCATGTCTACTATCCCAAACCAGCAGAAAACAATTATTCTTTGAGAAGCTTAGACTTTGTGATAAACTGTACACATAACATATACTTGCTGCTGGGATGTTTTCATATTCTCCTGGTGTAGAAAAAGGTTTTGTTGTCTACATACTGGAGGACACCTTTAAAGACGTGGAGTTGAAGAGACATCTAGTGGTGGTGGTGATATACAAACATCACCATCAAATGTATGGAATATTCTTGTGCCATTTTTTGTTCCTGGAAATGTTATGTGTATTGTATTAAATGGCGTGAAACTAACCTATGACATCTTAACATCAGGAAGTGGAAAACTATCGCTCAGCCATGGGTAAGATGGCAGAAGACATCATAGCGCTGAGGACACAGATGGTGAGGTTGGAGGCAGAAAACAGCCAGCTCCGCTCTGCTCTGTCTCTGCAGCAGGACCTCGGCAAAGACCTGTTGGACGACATCCACGTCATGACCAGGGCTGAGATTGCTAATTATATAGGTAACCTGAGATGGCGAAAGTAAACGCATCCTTTACTCAAGTAGAAGTACAGATACTCGTGTTTAAAAATACTCTGGTAAAAGTAGAATTACTGACTAAATGTATTTACTCAAGTAAAAGTAAAGAAGTATGGGCTTCAAAATGTACTTAAGTAAAGAGTACCCATAACTACCAGCTGTTTTAAAGAGTAACTGACCTCCCTTTATATTAATAGAACAATAATGTCATTGTTAGCTACTGAATGTTTCGAAGCTGAACAACGGCAAAATGACAAAGTTTTCATTGGTCCCTCTTCTTTAGAGAAGACCAGGAAATGATGGATACACGGATCGTGTTAAAATCAATAGGCACGCAATGACTAATAATAATAATCATGCCACCAAACACAGATTAAAACTAAAGTAACGAGCCTCTTTTGAAAATGTAAGAAGTATAAAGCACAGGTATTTGTGTTAAAAATGTAAGAAGTAAAAGTAAAAAATCGCCAGAAAGATAAGTAGTGGAGTAAAGTACTGATACCAGAAAAATGTACTTAAGTACAGTAACAAAGTATTTGTACTCCACTACTTCCCACCTCTGTAGGTAACCGCAGCAGAGAAGTAAAGCTTTAATAACCCAACCATATACATTCATATGTTTCCTGCGTTAAACTGAGCCTGAACCAAAACCAAACCAAAAAATGCAAAAGCAATAGTTGTCATTTGTTTCCTTAAAGTTGTGATCAAAAGTAGAAAAATAATTTCATTCATTAATGTCATAAAGTTTACAATCCAATCAGCAGTTGTTGAACCTTCATTTCATATCGGATGGATTAAGGGCATTTCACTGGCAGATGAAGGAGGGATGTTGGAAGGTGGCTCGCTGTGTGCCAACTAATCCTTGTGAGTGTCTATTCCCAAGCAGACTGTGCCTTTTTGCGATAAGGCAGCTCATTTTGGCCATGGACCCAGATAAGCTTTGTGGGTAGTTCATCCCTTATCTCCTGAAGGACAGTTTGCGACCCTCAATGAAAGGATGTTCATGAAGGTCTCTCTGCTGGCAGCAAAGCAAAGGAAACTGATTTAACTCCCACCCGACAGAAAATCCATTACATTTCAAAAGTTCTATTGATGTTTTTTTTTTATTCGTGCTGTTCAAATGTCTATGCATCAAAACTGACATGCTAATCATTCTCAATTTGAAACGTCACTGAAATGTTTCATAAGTTATATACAGAGCAAATGTTGAGTCTCAACTTCTATCAAATAAGCTGTGCCTTTTCTTATTTCAACTAATTATGTAGCAAAATAAAGGAACATGTATATGCCTATGAAAATCTGTTCAAATAAATGGCTTACATGTAGAATTATCATGCTCCTCTGTATGATGTGTCTTCCCCTCTTTTTTTAGCCTCTCTTAAATTTAAGCTGGCCAATGAGACCAGTAAAGCCGGCTCTCAAAGGGACCGAATCCAAAAGTTGCAGAACGATCTGATCAAGGTTAAATAACATTAAAGTAATACATGTCAGTGTATACAGTACATAGTGTTAATATAGTTCTCTAGCTTTATTTGTGTGTTGAGCAGGAAAACGAAAGTGAGAAGGAGCTACTAAAGCTTCAGAGAGTTCACCAGCAGCAACAGGAGGATTTGCAGCGCTGCCACAGCCGCTTGGCAAAGATGGCAAACTTGGAGGCAACAGTGAAACATCAGGAAATGGTGAACAGTCTGTTTCATCTGTATCAAAACAGGGAATGCTTCTTTCTATGACAGCTTGAAATGTATGTTGGCATAATATTCTGTAAACTTGTTCCATCCAATTTTCAGGTCATTGAGAAGATGGAGAAAGCATTAGATAGCAAACTCATAGAGAAGAGTAAACAGACTGGTGACAGAAGGCCTTTGGTAAATAGGCAAAAAGGTAGGTGGTTTCAATGCGGTGAGATAACAAAACACAAAACAAAATGTGCAGAAGCAATGACATTTTTTCATCCTATGTAGGTGGCACTGATAACAGAAAGGAAGAGATAGAGTCAGCCCTGGCAGCAGAAAACAGTCGTCTCAGAGGAGAGCTGGACAGGATTCGCCAGCAGCCGGCCCCAGTTATTAAACAGCAGTCAGCCCAGGTACACCTACACTTTATAGACAGGACTCACATAGTGTGATGTGAAAATTGTGTTTTACTGTCATCAGATTAAGTGTTTAGGGATTGGCAGCTCAGATTTCTTTTGAGAATATATTTGAAATGTTATTGTCCTACTCATATATTGTATTAACGTTTCTGAAATCTAAATGTGTCATGTACCTTCAGAGAAAAGAAGCCCTTCCAGTCGAGGAGCGAATTAGTTTACTAAGTAAGCTGGAGAGGGCAGAGGCAAGAGTTCAAACACTGGAGGCTCAGGTGAAACAAATATAACATATGTACACAGTATTTTATTTGTATTCAGTCACTTTTAAGTTTTGCATTAATGTTTAAGAGGATGATTTGCCTTGGTTTGCATGTATTACAGTTGGAGGAGAACTCTAATTTATGGGGGAGAGAAAAACAAGAAATGTTGACCAAACTGAGCGAGCACAGGCATGGCTTCGTCCGGACGTCCACCACAATCCTTAATAACGTTCCTTCGGTCAGTTGAGTGCTACTTGCTGTAATTTTACATGTGCTTTATGAATTATTTTATGTGACATGGGCAATTTTTGCTTCTTACAGAGATCTGTACCAGAATCATTGAGTGAGCAAAGCAGACAGAGGAAGCAGAATAAGTCCTGTTGACCCAGACTAAACATAAACACTCACAGTTTTCTTTGATTCAATATTCCAAATAAATTCATACATTTAGATAAACTAAAAAAATACATTTTACAAGACATATTTTGAATCGAATATTTTATTAATCTTTTGGAGATATTTTTTTAAATACCTTTGCCATGTGCACACAGAATAAAGCATCAGGAAATTGTTTGGAATATTTTACACACAAACACTACACATTACTATCACTTGTACAATTACTCATTGAGTGATATACAGTACATATAGTTATGTTTCATTAGTTATTGAATTACAGAGGTAAATTGTTCTTGATGGTTATTAGATTTTTCTTTCCTAATGTTTCCTTGCTTTCCATCAACATGTTAGGTTATCAGTAGTTATTTAGTATTTAAATGCTTTGGTAAGCCTTTTACAATTGTGTGATAAAGGTCTGGCTTATCATGCACAAAACATTTCTCTCTAAGTTGTTGTTACCGACTAATATGTAAGGGCTTCAAAGTCAAGATTATCGGTTTCTCTGGTACGAGGATGAGCTCAAAGGTACTCTGCACTTCCGCATGGCGCTCTTTCTCCACTCTGAAGTTCTCAAGCATCTGCAAAGACAGGAGATAATACACACAGTTACAGTGCTGTGTAAATGAGACACAAAATATAGAAATACATCTTATTCTCTGTTTATCTCACATGGATGAGGAAGATTTGCATCTCGGTCTCAGCTATTCTGCGTCCTAAACACTGACGGGGGCCAAAGCCGAAGCCCAGGCTCCTGAAATAGTGCGTCTCTGTCCTCAGCCAGCGGGAGGGCTGATACTGCTCCGGACGGGGAAACACTTTGGGGTCTCTTCCCATTGCATACAGTCCTAGCTGGACCAGAGTCTAAACACAACCAAAAGAAAACACAGAAAGATAAGCAGTTGCCATAACGTAAGCAAACACAATTATATATATGATCTTATTATGTTTTTGTAACTGCCTCTTACCCCAGCTGGGATGTGGTAGTTTTGAATGATGATATCTTCTGTTATATATCTTTGCAAGCTCACTGCAACCGGGTGTAACCTAAGGGATCAAGGTAAAAAGTCTATATTAGGAACTTTGTGGACGACACAATTGCCATCTAGTTAGTAAGGAAAGTATTACTACATAACTGAAAGAGGCAAACTTTGCCCCTAAAAAAATGACATCTACCATCCCTAGCCTATCATTAACAATGTTGTATGAGTGGCAATGCAATCTTTGTTTCACCTCAGTGTTTCCTTTAAAGCTCCTTTGACCAATGGAATGTGCTTCAGCATCTCCAGCATGTCTCCCTGGCTTTCAGCCCGCGCTGCAGCCACCTCCGCTCTCAGCTCCTCCTGGAGGTTGGGGTGCCTCGCTAGTTCATACAACGTCCACAGCAGTGTTATAGAAGTCTGAAACACACAAACAGAATCAAGCCGTAAGCAAAAAATAAGTCACATTCTGGGAAGTAATGGATTTTTCAAATGTTTTACTTACCGTATCTACTCCTCCAGCCATTAGCTCAGTGATGCTGGCCTTGATGTCTTCAATGGAGAGCTTGTCCAGCATGAGCAGGCTGGCCAGGACTCCTGGGTATTTCTTCGGAGTGCCAGCTTCCAGACGTAACTGCCTGTAGATGTTGTGGATGCAGCGGTCCGCTGATATATGAAAAATAATACAAATTCAATTATAAACTGCAATGTGCACAGTGCAATCAAAAACTAGAAGAAGTTACTTTTAAAAAACAGAACTTAGTCTATTTGTGACAGTCAAACAATATTTGAAATGTCTTACCTTGGTTGAAGATCCCATCCCAAGCCTCCACATGGTCCCGCCATACCTTAGCTCCAACCTTCCTCAGCAGAGCAGGAGGTATGTACAGCATGGGTGAGGTAGTCTTGAACATGACGGTGATGCAGTTGATGAAATGTTGAGCTTCAGGGTCGATGTAGTCCAGCATCAAACCCAGACGCTCCCCATACAGCACTGAACTCACAGCTGTGTAAAACAGAGAAAACAAAGAATATGTGAAAATAAAATGGGACTGGCCAACACGGAGAGTAAAATACATAGTTTTATATAAAAAGAGAGAAAAAGTAGTCTTACACTCCAGTGCGTATTTAAAGAGCTCTTGAGAGAGGTCAGTGGTCCATTTGTTTTGGCCGGTTCGCATTATCTTTTTGTGAACTCTGGCCACAAAATCCTGGCCCACTTCCTCCAGTAAAGGAACAAAGTTTCCCAGCACCTTTGGGGAAATCACCTCCTTGTTCAGAATCACACGGTTTGATCTCCAGTCTTCTCCATTCCTGTGGACAGATTGGATGCTAACTTAGACAAGAAACTAATAGGCGCAATGTTATGGCAATTGGTTAAACCCTTGGTTCCATGAAAGTGTCAATATATTGGTGAAACAGAATTCATTTAGGTGGGTAAAGAGAGCACTTACTTTAGTAAAACCCCATATTTGCGATTCCTGTAGTCTCTGTATGATGTCCAGGCTTCAACTTTCAGTCTTTTAGGGTAATTGCCCTCCGCTTTGAACAGGATAGCAGCATCTTCAGGATTGATGATATTAACGCTTTCGTAATAACCTACTTTTTCCCTGACATACAGAAAGGAAAAGAGACACAAATATGACATGTCAGCCTCGTTTTCAGAAAACATGGACTTTTAGATTTACGGTCACAACTGTTTTTCAAGAACATAAATGTTTATATTTAGACCAGAAAATGCATTTAAAACGTGTCATTATTATTTGTGCCTGCTTATGTTGTTGTTTTCTAATTATTCGATACCGTAGAGTCATGTATAGCTATTATCTACTATTTTTGCAATCTTCCATACCTGTAAATGGGTCCAAAAGTGTTGAAGTTCTGCAACATGATACGGTGAAGGTTTTTAAAGCCATCCAGTTTCCAGAAGTTGTACAAGTTGGCCGCTCCATTCTTCCACAGTCCAGGAATCTCACTGAAAGGCCTGACCATGTTGCTGTCTGAGTACGCCTGTCTGACTGCCGGCACACTGCTGCTGCAGCGCACACCGGCTGTCAGCACCATTACCGGACTGCGCCAAACACTCCACCCAACCATCATGTCAACTTAAATTCTCACTCTGCTTTACCTTCAGCAGTTACTCTGGATCTCCCAGGGACATCTGTTGCAAAACAAGGAGGCTGGTCTAAATAGTTGTCCCTCCTTGCTGGGCTGATCAGGGCTCCCCAGTTCATCTCTACAGTAGATAGGTACAGTAACAGAATACCCCACAATGCAGCATGTGTGGGTATGTTGAGCTGTACTACTTACTGAATATTTTACCTTGTATCATGGCCCATGCAATCTTCTGTGTTTAAACTAAAACTTACACTAGACCTTAACACCTTCAGAGTTTTTGTTTTGTGAAGAAAGACAAGTCCATAAAAGTAAATCAGTTTATTACGTAATCAATGTATACATAAAAAGCAGGCACTGTACAGGTTAAATTAAAGACTTAATAAATACGTTTACAAATGCCAATCTCATCCTTATTTCTGAAGTAACTTTATGAGTTCTTCCAGCTTCATAGCAGTATCAATATCTCCTTGGATTTTCAGTCTGCCGCTGGTGTAAGCAGAAAACGGTCGCAGCACTCCCTGGAACATGGCCAGAAGGTCGCTGTCACTCATGCTCAGTGTCACATCTGGCTCTCTGCACAGAGACCCTGCTCCAGCTGCACCGCTGCCTACAGAACACACACAGAGCGAACGAGATATTTAATATTAATGTAACAGTATTTGTGTTTGCTTCTCACATCAGCATTATTACACAAATGGAACACTAATCTCAATGGGATTTCTCTATTAAAGGTTGGGTAGGTAATTTTGGAGAAACCAGCTCGAGTGCGCTAGGATTTGAAAATACACAGCCGGAAAAAATCTGCCAGTACTACGGCTTCCACAGATGACATTTTTTGTATTTATTGTCAAAGCATTTAATATATTCATTGCTATCGGGATGTTAAGAGCATTCCATGGAATATAACAAAAAGTGTTTCTGAAATAAATTACATACCCCACCTTTAAGTGTAATATACAAACCACTACCTTGGCTCAAATCCACAAAGTAATTGTGATGTTGTCCATTCTCCGAGCTCACGTCAAACTGGAAGCAGGCCCCAACCTGGTGGACCAAAGCCTCAGAGAGCAGGAGCTTGACGGCGTCCAGCAGCTCTTCAACAGAACGTGGTGTGGCCATGACATTCTGAGCTGCACTGCTGAGCTCATCTGTAAAAGTTATGCAGTCCTCTGAAGAGGAAAAGCAACAGATGTATTACTCAACATCAGATTCAGTATATGTTATATAAAAACGGTTATTTACATGTAGATCCATACCTTGTTGAGGCTGTTGAATGCCACCCAAAAAGTGCATGGCCAACTGCTGAATAGGGTCAGTGAGATCTTCCAGTCCAGGCACAGCAGGGGGCATGGTGAGGGGTGCAGAGGGGCTTTGCTCCGGTGCTTTGAGTACAGAGCCCAAAGCAAGCTCAACCCTGTCCACCTCCAGCCCCCAGGGTCGAGTCATCTCATTTATGTCCGTCTGTAAAGAACATTTAAGGATGTTAGTTTGACCTGATACAGTGAAGAGTCAGCAGATAGAGTAGGTCCAGTGTATTCTCACCACAAGATATTCTCCCAGTTTAACTCTCTGAGTTTGGATCTCCCTGACAGTCCTCTTGGCCAGGAGGTAGGTCATAGCCTTCTGCGCCGTCATCCTGGTTGAGGCGTTCAGGTCCTGGACTGAGAGTACGGACATGACGGGGTTCCAGATCCTGAACTGGATGTCTGCTCCCACTAACAACTCACCGCCATCCAGAGTGATCACCTACAGTAGCAGAATTACATTTAAGATGAATGCTGCGGTCATTTAACATTAGTTAAAGAATTTGGAATCTTAAAGGTCACATGTCATGGCCATTTCCACTGATCATAATTCCATTGTTGAGGTCTACTAGAATAGATTTATACTGTGCAATTTTCCAAACTCACATTGTTTCGCATACAGCATCTCTGTAAACTACGTGTATTCACTCTCTCCACTAAACGGCTCGTTGCAGCTCTTGCCCCCCCTCCCTGTGAGCCCAGTGTGCTCCGATTGGTCGGGACCAGTCGGGACGTTGTGAATCGCGCTAAGCTCCGTGGAGGTGTGATTTCCTTGTTTAGCGATACACAGCCAAACTCACCCTGAGCACACACAAAGTAGGACTGCTTCTTGAGCTCTAATCTCACTTTCGCAGAGTTTACTGGTGACTTTAAAGCAGATGACAATGTATGTATATCGGTTAAGAGGAAAAAGTGCTTGTTTTTTTTGTTGTTATTATTACTATCAGGGAATGTACAACTAAACCCTGGACCGCCCAGCAGCAGTAGTAGTCAGATCGCTACTCCTGCTGATATTAATTCTAGATCTGGGTTGGGATTCATTCACTTAAATGTGCGCAGTCTGTTACCTAAATTAGATTTTGTCCGCATTTGGGGGAGCTCGACTGATGCTGATGTCATTGTCTTATCAGAAACATGGCTAGATAAATCTATTTTGGCCTCTGACATCTACTTAAATGGTTATAGTGTATATCGTACCGACCGTACTAAAAAAGGTGGTGGCATTGCCATTTATGTGAAAAATAAGTTTTGTGTAACCAAGATGGTTTCCAAATCTATTAGTAAACAACTAGAATTTGTAGCTTTAAATATTGAAGTAGCAAAGGGGCAACAGGTCATGATGGTGGGCTGCTACAGACCCCCCTCAGCTGTCAAGGACTCTTTATCTTCTTTGGCAACACTTTTATCTCAACTAGACTACAAGGAAATAGTACTGCTTGGTGATTTTAACTGGGACTGGTTAACTGCAGTGTCAGAGGATTTTAAAAACCTTTGTATCTCTTTAAATGTTACTCAGATTGTTGACAGTCCTACTCGCCCTAACATTAAGTCCCCAAATAAATCCTCCCTAATTGATCTCATTTTAACTAATTTTCCCCATAAATACTCATCTGTGGGAGTATTTGCGAATGATCTGAGTGATCACTGTGTTGTAGCCACAATTAGGGACACTAAGGTCCTAAAAGTTAAACCTCGCATTATCAGTAAGAGAGACAAAAAACATTTTGTGGAGCAGGGTTTTGTGCATGATCTGTTTGATTTTGATTGGGGTAAAATCGATCTGTGTCCTGATGTAGAAACTGCATGGTCTTATTTTTATCTTGGTTTTATGGAAATTATAGATAGACATGCACCCCTGCGTACTTTTAGAGTAAAGGGACGAGACAATCCTTGGTTTTCTGCTAATCTGTCCAGTCTCCTTCATGAGAGAAACAAGGCCTGGGCAAAGGCTAGGCAATCAGGCTCAGAGGTAGAATGGCTGCGTTTTAGGCAGCTAAGAAATAGCTTCACATCGCAAATCAAAAGTGCTAAATCAAAGTACTATCTGTCAGTAACCACAAAGAATCTGAATAATCCTGGAAAATTTTGGAAAGCCATAAAATCGATATCCACCGGTGATATCCGTAATGAGCTACCTCCGTGCATTACCACAGCATCTGGCACTATATCGGACAGGGCCACTATGTTAAATTGTTTTAATGAGCATTTTGTGTCCTGTGGCTCTCTGTTTGATTCTGTCACTAACTCTGCTTCTGTGAACACTACAGTCTGTAACTCTGAAAAAGGTGTTTTGGAAAACCCTTTTAGTTTTACTCCTTTTACTGTTGATGTTGTTCGTGAAGTTTTAACCAAGTTAGATCCTAAGAAACCGGCTGGCCCGGACAACGTAGAACCTTTCTTTTTAAAGATAGCTGCAGATTTTATTGCTCCACCTCTCACTACTCTTTTTAACCTCTCCCTCAGCACTAACACAATTCCAAAATTGTGGAAGTCAGCGTATGTCCTGCCTCTACTAAAAGGAGGGGAGGCCACTTTATTAAATAATTATAGGCCCATCTCAAAATTATCAGTTCTGGCTAAGGTGCTCGAACGCCTAGTGAGTGAGCAGGTAAAGGTGTTTTTATGTACAAATGACATCCTGTCTAAACATCAGTCAGGCTTCAGAAAGCAACACAGCACCATCACTGCCACAATGAAAGTGGTGAATGATGTGGCGAGTATTTTAGACAATAAGCAGAGTTGTGCAGCTCTATTTATTGACCTGTCCAAAGCGTTTGACACCGTCGATCATCACATTTTAAAGCAGAGGCTAGCCAGTATAGGCATGTCCAGCCATGCAGTAGGGTGGTTTGTAAACTACCTCTCTGAAAGGTCCCAATGTGTTCATTTTGATGGGCTGTCTTCTGAGTGGTTGAATATTGCTAATGGTGTTCCCCAAGGTTCTGTTTTAGGTCCACTTTTATTCTCCATCTACATCAATAGTTTAGGGGAAAATGTGGATGAAGCTACTTTTCATTTTTATGCGGATGATACCGTGTTGTACTGTGCAGGTCCCTCCATTAAGGAGGCCGGTGTTAAATTACAGACTGTTTTTAACATTATTCAGACTCGGCTCTCTGAACTAAAGCTTCTTTTAAATGTTGAGAAAACCAAGGTAATGCTCTTTTCTAAAGCTAAAAAGACACCAGAGCATGTTTTAGATATTGTAACTACACAAGGAACAAAACTTGAAGTTGTTGCCTGTTACAAATACTTGGGTATCTGGCTTGATGATTGCCTCACTTTTAAACTTCATGACAATAACCTGCTTAAAAAGCTGAGGGTTAGGCTAGGTTTCTTTTACAGAAATAAGTCCTGTTTCTCGCTTGAGGCCAGGAAAAGGCTAGTCACTGTGACCTTTTTACCTGTGCTGGACTATGGTGATTTGATTTATATGAATGCACCTGCCAATTGCCTGGTCAAGTTAGATGCTGCGTATCACAGTGCACTAAGATTTGTGAGAAACTGTAAAGCATTAACCCATCACTGTACCCTGTATGCAAGGGCTGGTTTGCTTTCACTAACTGTACGGAGGCTCAGTCACTGGTACATTTTTATATACAAAGCCATGTTAGGGAAACTTCCATCTTATATCTGCTCCCTGATCTCACAGAAAAGTATAAGTGGCTACTGCCTGAGATCGAATGCTGTGGTTTTATTAAATGTGCCAACTGCTAGGACTGTCTTAGGGAAGACAGCTTTTAGATGTGCAGCTCCACTGTCTTGGAATAGTCTGCAACTGAAATGGAAACTGAGCAATCTGGTGCCACTAAATGTTTTTAAAGCTCGGTTGGATGCTACTCAATCGGAAGCTGTTGGTACCTGTACATGTGGATAGTTATGTAAATTGTAATCCCTGTGATGATGATGTAAGATGTCCTTTTGTTGTTCTGTTAATGTTTTTATGTTTCATGTGGAACCTACTTGAGCAGGTCTCCCTTGTAAAAGAGTTCAATGATCTCAATGGGATTTATCTGGATAAATAAAGGTTTGAAATGAAATGAAAAGTCACAGCCGAAGTAAAAACAATAAGTGTGGCTTGATATTGAGTAAGAAAAAGGTTGATAAACGCTGTGAGAATGGGTCTGCAGAGAGAATTTCGCCGCGATCCCAACTGTCTGTTATCAGCCAGGGAGGAGAGATCAGCAGAGCTGCTTGCACTGAGTGTGTGAGGAAGTCCGTGGATTGGTCAATTTGGACCAATCAGCGGGGGCTTAACGTAACGGCTCCGCGGACGTAACGTAACGGCTCCACGGATTGGTCCATTTCGTTCCGGGTACGACATGACATCAGATGTCCCCGGAAGAATCAAATGGATGATGACGTTTCACCAACGAGGCGTTTTGGGGAGGTATTTTCTGTTTTAGAGTTTTACTCCCTACATGGTGTACTTTGAGAGTTTTGACTCTGCACACCGTTTACATGCATAAAAACCTTCATAACACACAAGGGGACGGGTAATAACCGGAAATGACATGACATGTGACCTTTAATTCTTAAAGCTGATGCAGACTAAGACATATTTAAAGTGTAATGCTGACATGACATGAGCTTGACACTTTAGCTTTATTGAAATGTAAAAGCTTTAGTAAAATGCAGTGAAGATTAAAAAATGTACACACATAAATTATAAAAATTACTTGTAAAGTAATTGTGTTAATTGATTGAACTTTAAAAAACTAAATGTTAGCATAAGACATCTATTTGCATTTACTTATTACGTTTAAGCTGGAAAAAAACAAACAAAACATTTGGAATAGTCATTTTAAAATGAATTGCAGGCAGCATGAGGTTACATCGTTAAGTGTCAGCTGATGTGCTGTCGCAAACTAATCATTTATAGATCTCTGAGTACCATTTACATTCTCCAGTTTCAAACGGATCAACAGTGCACCAAGAGTGCCACCTGCAGGGTAAACAAAATCAAGAGACATTTTGCTTCCTGTAATCATTACGGCTGTTTCAACAGGCGATTAACAGATTAACTGTGAATGCACTCTAAACTGAGTGATTGGGCACAAACTCCACACTCTTACTACGGTTCAAAAATATATTCAATGGGTAATGGGAAGCTTTTATGACTGATTTCTGTTTTAAGGCAATGCTGATAAATGTTACTCATACTTTAATTTGTAATAGTTTAGCTAGTAAAGACTTGATGTAGTTGTCTGTATTTCTTTCAGTGCTACAGCATGTAAATGTACTAGTTATGAACTCAGTATAGTGGTTTACCTGGCTGGGAGGGATGTTGAAAGCACGGGTGCGCAGGTCTACTCTCTGCCACTGGTCAATGAGAGGCAGCACGAGGACAATACCAGGACCCTTTGGAGGACCAACTCGACCCAGACGAAATGCTACTATCCTCTGGTAGTTAGGCACCGTCTACAGACAAAAAAAGAATTGGTTGTGTTGTGGAAATAATTATCATAAGACGCCAATTAGTAACATACAGGACAAACCTCGATGTCTGTTTACCTTCTTTAAGGACACAGGCGGCTTAGCCAATAATGTTATTGTTCCCATTCTGTGACCGGTCAATACTGGGATACAGATGGTCTGTGTTGTGGGTACACTGGGACACTTCCTTCTCTGTATTTGTGGACTCCAAGGTAAAATCTTCGAGGTCATAAGTGTCCGAGGCAAGTAGCTCTGTGTTCCCACACTGTTTAGGCTATCTCCTCAAATATGTTGTTTACTCTCTGCGAAACCAGTTAGATGGGCTGGCAAGAGAGAGGCTCTCCAGAATTGACGTGGCAACTCTACCGTGAAGTCAGAACCTCTGACTCTTGGACTTGTGATGTGAATCCTCCGGCCGTTAACTCCAAATAAACCATCATGTGTTTGACATCAAAGCTACTGCTCTTCCCGTGTCTCCTTCCTGAGTCGGTGACTCCCACTACATAGCTACACAGAAGTTTCCTCTACAGGTTGTTTATTAAGAGTGGACATTATAGGGAGTACCTGATGAGAGATAATTTCACCTTACCTTCAGTACAAACCACCCTGTTACAGGAAATGTTATGAAGGTGAAGAAGTAGACAAAGAAGATGACAATCAGGTTGCAGATCCAGGACAGCCATCCTTGGGAGGCATCTTAAAGAAATAAAAGGTACTTTTTAGTACACCAGTCAGCATGTGAAACATTTTTGTAATATGTATCTTAAAGGGTACATTTCTGAAACGAAATTACTTAAATTAGGAATGTAGACTACACCATTTGAACAGAAAACCTGTATTACAAACTGTGTGAGTGTGAGGTTTGGAATATGGTGTCTCATTGGGCAGGAAGGCCCTTTTTACTAATGGTTTTGAATTGCATTATGGGAAGGGCTCATATCCCAGCGTCCTTGGAGATTCACTCATCATAGAGACTATATTTCAGGATGTTATATGTTCTAATTATAACCAAGCTGTTTCCTGCAAGCTATCCAACCTTAGCTTAATGCATATTTAATTAATTTTTGTTGCGTTGTGGCATTGTTTTTTTGTATTGTATTTTATGGATTGTGATCACCTCGGTGCAAGGCACATTTCCCTTGGGGACAACACAGTTACAGGTACAGGGAGACACTGAACTACGCAGTAATAACACTTTAACAACATATTGTTGATCATTAAGAGTAAATCGCTCTTATTCAAACAAGGAAATATATCAAAGAAAATGTTGTCATTATTGCACTATAATAGTTGGGGTTGGTTTGTTGGACTTTAACCCACTGTCAACCCTTATGGTCACTTATTATTTTCTATATTTTTCTATAGTTAATGTAAGCTGCCTACCAGTGAAGTCGTTTTCAGAGACATTGGGGATGTTGTCGAAGGAGAAGCCTTTGTGGGGTCCTCGCTGTGTGAAGCTGACAGGGTCCACGAACAGGCCCGGAGTCTTGGGACAGTCCCCCTGAGGGAGCAGCGTGTAAGACTTGCTGAACATTATGAGGTAAAACAATGGTATTTCCTATTTAAATCAACTTCATCAGAATGATCAAACTCCGCTTCAACTGTCAACCAAACCTGGTTGGTTATTTAAATGGACGCTTTACATTTCTTTCTTCCGTGTTTTGGTACGGCTCTTCTTCTCGGTGTTTACTGACGGCTCCTGTTCATCAGTGCATCTACTCATTACCGCCCCCTAACGTAATTTACTGTAGCCCAGATGGTGCTTAAAATGATAACATAGCACAAGGTTATACATCTTTATCTTTCAAGATCTCACATTAAACATATATTTGCAGTTAGATACTGGACTACTTTAACAGTAAAAAAAATAGGGTAATTGTATTTTCGGTCCAAAGGGTGCTCTGTCCAGATTCTCTTTATTGTACAGTCCAGTTCAGTGTTTGATTTGTGTGGCCAATATGGATGGTAACCTTTTTTTATTAATTGTGACCAAAGATATGTGAGTGAAATATATGAAACAGAAAAAAAACCTTGTGAGGGCTTTCTTCTAAATAACCTCAGACAAGTCTATTTATGCACTGCAATGTCTTGTTACATATAAGCAGAACATTTCCAATGTATCTGTAATAAGCTAAAGCTAGACATGGTCAGACTTGAATATCATAATTTGTTTTTATACACACCAGACATTTATGTATAGTTCTGTTCTTTTATGGCATATTTTTTGAATATAGGTCTTTTGTAAAACGTGTTCAAAAATAAACAAACAAATACACAATTTAGATTAATTTAGGACAACTATTCAAAATACATATTATGTTCATTTTCATTTACTTTAATAAAAAACGTGCTTCCTTTCAACTCGGTTCCTACACTTTACAATAACAATGTGATGTTTTGCATACACATTATTTACAATATTTACAAAGAAAATCATGTAATAATCACTGAATTTAACCTGGTATACTTATTTAGAATACAATAAACTTTGATGGGTACATACTTGTTGACTTATAGTGGGGAAAAAGTTTCCTTCTGTGGTATTTTTAACATTTATTTGGTAAAAAAGGGATGTGTTGTTGAATTTGAAAGTCATAACCTGAATATAAAAAACAATCGGTACCACTTCACAATAAGACTACCCTTATAAAGGATTCATAAAGGGTTTATAATTAGGTTATGAATTAGGTTGTAAACACTTTATTAATCATTAAGAACCATTTATAAACCAGTTCTAACATAGTTTTCATACATCAACACAGGCTCACTATTTGGCAAGATGACTTTGTAGCCTTGTATTGGCTACTTAGCGAGAATCAACTCACTGAACAACAGATACCAAGGATGCTGGCTGATGAAGAAGACAAGTAAGCTAAGTAGCCAATATAAGGCTTAGCAGTACAGATAAATGTGGGCTCACTATTTGGCAAGCAACCGGTCACAGTTGCCCTGTTTATCTCATGTCTCATAAAAGCTTATTAATGATTTATAAAGTGTTCACAACCTAATTAATAGATTAATTACAAACTATTCATAAACCCTTTATAAGGTATAGTCTTATTGTAAATGGGTACCAAACAGAAAACATGTTTCTTGAGCGTGAACTGGATTTGGCTTCCAGTGTGCTTGTTTTCATTAGGGTCTTAGTTTTTGAACATGTCACACAGCAGTTTCTCCATGGGTGTGTTGCCGATGATCCTGTGAAAGAACAGCTGCTCTATTTTCTCCGAGCTCACAGAGTGGAGCGATGGCAGCAGAAGTATTAGTCTCCCAAACCTTTAGAGACAAGAACAAACGAGAGTTAACATCACGTTTCTGTTTGGGCTTTTATATGACAAACTGGATATACTCCAGGTGTTGTCTGTAGATCATAGAGAGAGATAGGCTCACCTGGTACTTTGGCTGGGGTATAGTGAATGGATGTGCTGACCTAGTAACACCTGTGACTGGTCCTGCAGATTCTCCACCTGCTCCGGGTCTTTGAGGCTGCTTGTCTCTGCAGGTAAAACAGCATAAAATTGGTTACAATGTCCATTCAATAACAAATTAATATTTCTGAGGGGAAGATCTCATCACCTGGCTTGAAGAGTACAATGGCTTTCAGGCAAGCAAACTCAGTGGGGTCAACAGCCAGGGCCTTAAAGCGATTAAAGACCTCTTCAATGACACGCAGGTCAACTCTGGGCAGGCTGGTCTTGGCCTGATGTGTGGGAGAAAGATCTGGCAGATACAGAAGAGGACAGCTGTCCATGGGCAGGGACCACTGGATGGCACACAAGAGGAACATCTCACTCCAAGCTTCCTCAAGCAGAATCACCTGAGGATGTCACAGAAATGCATGTTATCAGTCCACGTTATGTATGTTTAAATTGTTTGGTTAATATACAAAAATGTGTCAGTCAGTCTCACCTGGTCTCGAAATGGCAAGTGAGCAAAAACTGCCAAATTCTTTGCCCACTTGACAGACATAAAGAGGAGTCGTGCTGATGTCTCATATATACTCTCTGAGCAGCTGGAGGTGTACGGGGACATACGACAGTCAGAGGGAGTCCGATCTCTTTTTGAATCATTGGTTGTGACATCAATATTCTCCTCCGCTGTGCATTAGAAAAAGAGAGTCACACAAACAATAAGACTACTGGGAGTACATTATTGTAAAGTTTGAAATGTATTATTATGATTATTATGATTAGGTTACTCTTGTTCTCATCTTTAACGGCAAACCTCCCCTTATCATAGACATAAGAAGCCAAACCAAATAAAAACATGTATTTCAAAACATTAGTAAAGTCCTTGTTGTGTCCACCTTAAGTTAACTTCTTTCATAAGATCTCACCATTCTGGGGCTCCAGTTTTGCACAGGTCTCTGCAGTCAGCAGGCTGGCCATAAAGCGCTGGTAGTTGTTGGGGTTGCTGCAGGGCTGCATGGCGGCAGAGGAGGGGACGGAGGAAGTGACCAGGGGTCTGCAGATGACTGATGCGTAGCTAGCAGAGGAAGTGAGCTCCTGCGTGGTGGCCAGATGCTCTCTTTTAGGGTCACTTAGCCTTAGAGAGTCTAGACTCACATGGGCTGTGCTTCGAGGCTGTCGCTCATTCTGCACAGCTGGAGAAAAGACAATTAAATATATCTTATGAAAACAGTCCAAGCCACAGAAATATTGTATGCACATGTAATACGCTAGTAAACTCACCATCTTTGTTCATGCCAGCTTGGAGACATTTCTTCAATCGACAAGCTTGACATTGGTTTCGATGAGCCTTGTCTACAGGGCACCTGCCTGTTCCAGCCTGACACCTGTGATATCGACAAAAAGTAGTGTGTTAAAATACAAATCATGACTTATTACACCAGTTGTATTTCTCTATCATACATGTTACAATTATGTCTACCTTATTAGATAAAAGTACTAACCTGTAGATGATTCTTCGTCTTACGCTGCGCTTGAAGAAGCCGCTGCAGCCATTGCAGGTGTAGATGCCATAATGTTTTCCACTGCTGGAGTCAGAGCACACGTTACACAGCAGACTGTGGCCATGTGCTTTACCTGGGACTGGATTCATTTCTGTAGAGGACAGATAGGAGAAACTAGGATCAATCGATGACTACTTTTTTAGTCTGATTATTTAATATGGTATACACAATACAAACAACTATTGTTAAGATAATTATTCGTACGACATAATTCGCTGTACAAAATATTTGCAATATTTCTTTTTTAAATGTTGTTGCATCGTGGCTCACCTTGCAGTCCATCTGTGAAGTCATTAGATGTGTCAGAAGAAAACGGGTTCATTTTTCTCAGGTGGTCCTCCATTTTCAGTTTCTGATATCTGAACTTCCTAGAAGTATTTCCTCTTCTGGATGAAGTATTTTTGTGAAATGCCCATGGATCAAAGCATTTTTGTTATGTGAAGTCTTAACACATGGTAATGTCTATAAAGCACATTTGTAATTGTTTCTATTAAATGCTCTAGTTAAAGCTTAATTTCTTCAGTGGTCATCAGAGAGTTACTCCAGAAATGATCGATGATATTGATCCAGGGATGTGGTCCTTCTCTGGTCGTTTCTCATGTAATGGGGGGTCAATAGAGTTACTACTTCTTCTTCTTTCTTTCTCTCTGCCAGAACGAGTGTGAGACGTCTGGGGGCTTTCTGAAGGAAGACAAGGAGATTAGCACTAGGCGCTGTGTAAGCAAATGCTGATTTGTCATCCTCTTAATCTTTACTGTCTTTATGGGTAAATCAATCAGTCACAGCTCCTACATGCATAACTGGATTACACAAAGGTGACCACCGAAAACCAAATAAACATAAATATATTTGAACTTCTCACCAACTTTGTTACCAAATGGCTTCATACATTTGGCTGCTGCATGGTAAAGATCATCAGTTTCTCTGTAGATTAACATCGATTAAAATTGTTGTTTCAATTATTCCTTTTTCCTATTGAACCTTTCACAAATAGCTGATTCTGAGACCTATACACATACCGACATACATTTATGTTATAAGAAAAGCTAAAAAAAGGTTTACAGGCAAAGACGCTTCACATGTTTTAGCAATTGTCAATATGCTTATGCTGGCTACAATCGTCATGAACTTCTGCCCACAATGCTGGCTTGAGGTTTTAGAAGTTTACTTATAGTCAACAAGTGAAATAGTCTACTAACTACTAATCAAAGAAAACAAAACATTACAATAGGGTAATTTGTCCAAGTTCTAGTAAACATATGTGTCTCAGTTTACTGTTACCGGGTAGACTAACACCAGACTAAAGACAGTCCCTTTGTGCCATATTGGCCCTGTCAGTGACACTAATGGCTTCAGGAGAATACAGCCACCCGAAAGCAGCAAAGTAGCTTAACCTTCCATGAAATGTGGTCTTCTTAGAGGGGGAGCGCGAATGGGGGTGATGAGGAGAAAAACAATTAGTACAGAGATTCAAAGAGCAGCAACAAGTTGACCCTTAATTCCACTCCTCTGCCATATGGTGAGTGCTCTCTGAAGCCGCTTGCTGCCTAATTGGTAACCCAAATGTTTGTGCAAGTTTATAACTCTTGCAGGTACTGATTTCCTCACTTATACACAGTAGGTGGTATCAAATATATGTCAAAAAACATCAAAAACGTTGCTTGTTTGTTCCTGTACTGGTCTATGAAGCTACAGTGATGACTGTGTCACTGTTGCACGTAGCTCATGGCATGTAGCTCAGCTCATTAATCAGATCAAACTGGGCAAAGACACTGAATATATGAATGTGACTGCCTGCTGTGTCCACAGACTGATTTCTGTTATCCTTGCTAAGTCACTCTTGATTTTAGGAAAACAAAGTGGTATTGAAAACAGAGCTCTTTCTGTTTGACTTAACTGGTGTATAAAAGGATTACAAAGTAGGTGCAGTCTACGGGGGCTATGCTCACAGACCCTTTTGAATCTGTTGTCTGAATCAGTTTTGTAATCCTGAAACCGAAACAAAACAGGTTAGATTGTCTCAAAGGCTCCAAAAGTTGCAATGGTTTTAATATAGTCCGCAATAAATTGTCTTTTGTACCTCTTGTGCTTTCACAGTTAAAGATTTAGCAGGTGTAATGTTTTATTCCGTTTTTTATTATTCTACTCGTTATGTTCATACACTTTGTTTTAAGTTGTGCACGGCTGAGCTTTATGTAAAGCACTTCAAATAGCCTACCATTTATTATAATGTAAAACACTGAGTTGAAAGGTGCCATACAAACTTACCTTGCTTTTCCTTTTGCGCAACAAACAACTATTTGACTAGCATGCCAAGGCAAATTAACATACCACAGTTTACACAAATATTCACAACCTGATGCCAACAGTTCTGATAGCTTGTATATTGTGTGATGCAATTCTTGGAGCAAAGAGCAGGAACACATGGAGCACAAAGGGGAGCTTCGAACTGATGTCAGACACAGAAGATTTATTGTATAGACATATGACACCGTAGTGCCCAGCCTACACTGAGTTTCTCTTGCTCTCTCCTCGACTATTCCTAAGAGAATAATCAACATTCGATGACAAATCAAGCTCTGTTCCTAGCAGGGAATAATTGGAGCTATCCACCTGATAAGATGGACTCCAGGTTGTCCTTACTGCTCTCTGACACTATGCGTCAGCTTGGTCCTGTTATTATCTGAAGAAGAGATTGTTTTATGAATGTTTTTGGCAAGCCGAATCAACTATCACGAGTCAGACCAATACACAGCTGTGGGGAAAGACTGCTAAAGCTACAAGGCCGTTTGCCAGCATGAAACAGGGGAGTGAGAGGAGAGGCGAGATGACGAGAACTAAAACAAAAGGGCCATATTGAATATTCTATATCACCTTGTATCCAGACTGGAGGGGACATTTGTTAGAGCAGTTGTAAAAAAAAGACTTCAAACATGGCATCAGAACACCTCTTGTGATTGGACCATGTTAGGGAAGTTTATGCACACAGACTAGACAGACAGAAACGACTAAAGTATCTAAATCTGAACGTTTTGATTGATTGATTGATTGATTGAAAAGTTTATTAACAGCTTGTATATTGGGTACAGTACAGTACAGCTCAAAATCACTGTTAATAGTCCTCTACACAGCAATGATTCTTAAGATTTATATCATAGTCAAACATATAATAGTCCTTTATTGTCTTCTTTATGATTCTCTAGTGGTCGGCACAGGGAAGATGCTGCCGCCGTCAGCTCAGTGCTGCTTTGAGGTTTTGCCTGGCAGGGATAACTGTCACGTCTCTTCACTCCTCAGCCCTGTGATTGTTGCAAAGATGCAGACAATCTTTAGCAACACACTGCTATGAGCCAGCTGGACGATTATGTATTTAGTGGGAACATTTATGATGACAGAGCCCTGTAGGTGATTGAACACACGTCACTGGTAATCCCTCGCTCAGATGCTTGTCATGATTAGCTGTTCATTTATTCAAGAGCGATTTATCTTTAGATATATTATATTCCATATACGAGTCAGCTTTTTCACTGTGGTCCGTTGCAGCGCATCAAATATGTAAAGGTGCATATGTGCATATTTGTTATCCTTCAGAGGATGACCTTGAATGCTAGTTCACAAACCTCTGTCAGTCTAAGCAGCTTTTTTATATAAGCTCCTTGTTTGTAGTGTTGTCAAAGAGTGAGATTAATTTATAGAGTTGTTGCTGTCCTCTTCGTGGACATGGAACAGGTGCCCGAGTTGCAAAGGCATAAAATATGTCATAATCTGATTATGAGCTTTGAACCCTAAATCAATCTACTTTGATAGAACTATAATTTATTTTGACAGTCGATCAAAACTCCAACAAAACTCGACAACTATCTCAAGACCTAAAAAATGAACACAAATGAAAAGTTAATTTCTAGTGAATCAAGGCAGTTCAATGTCCCAGCAGGATAATCTTATGCCTGCTGTAACAGCATACATTTATGTGACACTGCACTCAGGATTCATTTCATTTCATTTCAAACCTTTATTTATACAGATAAATCCCATTGAGATCATTGATCTCTTTTTCAAGGGATGACTGCCTGAGTCCAAGTACACACGGTTAAGCTTTGTAGGTTCACTTTAGCAATTCCTGTTGTCACCCCCAAGTCAGATGGAGCGGAAGGATTGAGGTGTCAGCACTGGAGCTACCAGGGATTGCCCCGCCTTGCCATCTGCTGCCACTACTGTAATCCATACAATGAGAAAATCAGTTGTCTCAGTCCGTATCAAAGTCATGTCGGCTCAACTCAATAAGCAAATCAACATCAATGAGACAAGATCCATATTTTCGCTGACAAAGGAACTGAGAGCCTTATTGGGTTATGTTGTCCTTTTAATAGATGTACATACTCTTTTGCATAGATACAGCAGAACATTTTTAAAATAAATGACCAGAAATTTGAATGTCAAATTAATACCGATGTGACTACATTGGAGCGGCTGTGACTAAGGACGTAGAGCGGTCGTCCACGAATCAGAAGGTCTTGGTTCGATCCAGTCACATATCTTATTCCATAACTTATCTCATGGCATGGCCAAGGTTTTTACAGTGTGTGTGAATTGTAATGCCACTAGAAACAACACATACTAAACATTTCTAAACACATAACTGATCAATAGTGTCAGCAGAAGGACAGAATAACAGGATCCTCTTAGAGTTTTCATGTAGTCAGTCAGAAACTAAAATGTATGGCCATTTTGACAGTGAGTGTTCACAACCTCTTGTTTAAGCTTCCCTGGTCCAAGTCACTGAAAACTGGCCTAACATTCAGGGTGCCCTGACAAAACACTCTTTAATCTATAGAGGGAGACAGATGCCCTTTGCTTGTTTTATAAAAGTATGTTCCCAGGGAATGTTTCCCTTATATCTGATCAAAGTAGAATTAAGGAAAAATGTATTGGCATGTATCCAAGAAAAGTTGGCAGACTGAGGTGTTTTGGGCAATGTCGGAGCTAAAGGGTTTTAATGACGATATCCTTTTTGTAACAACCTTTCTGATAATGACAGACATTGAGTTGAGTTTGTTTGTGAAGTGTACATGTTCTTGCCATGTCTGCTTTGTTTCCACCAAGAACACATCAAAGTACCTGTATCTGCATCTAAACTGCCAATTTGTGTTAAAGATGTATTCAATGTGTTTGTTTTGTGCTTTTTTAGCAGTAGTATTACAGTAACAGCTGTTTGGAAGAATAATAACTGACCAAGTCTTCAGAGCAACATTATTTTATTTAGTTTCAGTGAAATAGTACATGCTGCAGCATACTGGCTGTGTTAATATTTACACACTTGTGCATTCATCAAGTTCAATTCAACATTACAGTGCGGCACTTTGGGTTCTTCCAAATAAGGTTATTGTTAACAGTTAATTATTGTGATTAATACATTTTTAAAGGTAAAAAATAAAGAGTGGATAACTGAAAATCACAAAATACAGATGAGAAGAAAATCCCTGAGAAAGCATTAATGCATTCAAAATGTATAAAGATGTAACACCACTTTAAAAGAAGGCAACTTTTAACTGAATTAGTTAGTTATTAGTTAAATCCATCCGGAATCTTCAAATACCTTGGTACTCGTGTTTGC